AACAGTATATAAGCAGCTTCTTTTCTCCTCATCCCTGTAAACAGAGGGTATCCTCCCTGAGTTTCGCTGAGAAGTGGAAAAATTGTTTTTTTGAGTTACATTTTTTTTTAATTTAGGGTGAGGTTATATTACATATTTATTAGACATTTGTACTGTTCTCCCCCTTCTGCCAGTTCTTATACTTTGCCCATTTTTAATTGTTTTTTTAATCCTCACCTGAGGATATTTTTTATTATTATTGATTTCAGAGAGAGAGGAAGGGAGAGAGAGGGAGTGGAGCTGGGAGTGGGGAGGAGAGCAACGTTGATATGAAAGATAAACATCGATTGGTCACCTCCTGTATGTGCCCCAACTGGGGGATTTAACTTGTAACCCAGGTATGTGCTCTGACCGAGAAGCAAATCTGCAGCCTTTTTGGTGTACAGGACAATGTTCCAACCAACTGAGCCACCGGGCCAGGTACTCTTTGCCTATTATTTTTCCCCTTAAGGTTATTTATTTATTTTTAGAGAGAGCGGAAGAGAGGGAGACAGAGGGAGAGAAACATCGATGTGTGAGACAAACATTGATTGGTTGCCTCTTGCATGCCCCTAACCAGGGACAGAAACCACAACCCAGACATGTGCGCTGACTGGGAATTGAACTGGAGACATTTTGGTTCATAGGCTGGCAGTCAATCCACTGAGCTACGCCAGTCAGGGCACACTTTGCCCATTTTTAAGTGAGTTTGATCTTTTTGTTCTTGGTTTGTATGCACTCTTTGTTAATAAAGTAAGTTAGCTCTTTGTTATATGTGTTGCAGTTATTCTCGTTTGTCATTTGTGAATTTCACAGTGTACATTTAAAATTTTCATTATTACCGTTGATACAGGGGCATTGATTGTGAATACAGTATTTAAGGAAATAAACTAGGCTTTCTGTCTTCTGTATGGGAGCAGTGGGCTCCCGTTCTAGGGAAATTTGAGTGTAAAGGAGTAATTTGAAGTCTTGCCAAGGTCTTTAAAGTGGAATCTTAATGTAAATACAGATTGCATCATATTTTTTTTCTTCTTAGTTTTCCTCAGTGTCCTATTGAACATATTTCCTTTTCCTGTTATTCAGGAAGCTGAAGATTTTTGGAAGAAAAGCTAAAGCCCTGAAGAATGGATAAGCTAAAAGCTGTAGAATCTTAGCCTTCTTGTATCTTGAGAAAAATTTGTGTCTAAAACTAAATGTGAGGGCCCTGGCTGGTGTGGCTTAGTGGATTCAGTTCTGGCCTGCAAACCAAAGGGTCTCTGGTTCAGTTCCCAGTCAGGGCACATGCCTGGGTTACAGGCCAGGTTCCCAGTGGGGACGCAAGAGAGGCAGCCACACATTGATGTTTCTCTCCCTCTCTTTCTCCTTTCCTTCCCCTCTGTCTAAAAATAAATAAAATCTTTATAAAGAAAACCAAAAAACTGAATGTGAGAAGTAAAAATGTACTTCTTACGTAATTTAAACAAATTTCTGTTTCTGTCTTGAACGCTTTTTTGTTAGCAGGTGTTGTCAAATTAAATTGAGACTTTCAGATAATTTTCCAGGTGTCCCTCCCCTTGCTCTTTTTTAGAACTTGTTCATCTCTTCTCAGAGATGTTTGTGTTTGTCTCCCTGGTTGGACTGAAGTAGGGACTAAGTTGGATTAAGAAAAAAAAATTATTTATTTTTAGAAGTGGGGAGGGAGAAAGAGGGAGAGAAACATCAGTGTGTGAGAGATGCAGTTATCATTGCCTCCAGCTCGTCCCCAGTGGATGGCTGACAGCCCAGGCATGTGCCTGGACCGGGAACCGAACCGGCAATGTATCGGTCCACAGGCCAGTGCTCAGTCCACTGAGCCACACCAGGCAGGGCTGAGTTGGATTTCTTATTTCTAATTTCCAACACAATGACTTACTAAGAGTACTCACTAATTGTTCGTTCAATGAATTAATGTGAAATTTGAAAACAAACTCTGACATCCCAAAAAGAGTGGAGGGAAGATTGAGGAGGGGACATGAAAGCCAGATTAGTCCTTAGTCTTGTTCTGTGTAATACTGGAGAGTAAAACTTCAGACAAATTGGTCAGTTAAAATCAAGCAGGTTTTAGTTCACTATAAGGAAGACCTGACAATTTAGGCTCCAGAGGAATTGTTTTCCTTGAGCTATTGGGAGTAATTTGCTCATCTTTACTCATTCACTGCCTTGTTCCCACACTCCTGTATTTTAATGGACAGTGTCCTGGGGTACTTGGGGCAGGAGAGTTGTGTGATAAAAGTATTAATTCAGAAATCAAGCAGACCTGGGCTATTGTTCTAAGGCATGACACTTAGCACCTGAACCTTAGCCAAATAACTTTAAGCCTTATTTTGTGATAATAGAATTATTAATATTTACCAATTATATAGTCCTTATTTTGTACTAGTCCCATGCTCCTTAAATGAATTATCTCATTAATTCTCTCACATGCACTGCCGACAGATAGGTACTATTATCATCACCATCCCCATTTCAGTTCAGTGAGTGTTCAGTGCCACTCTGCCTTTCTTCTTATTTGGCACCATATTTTCATATATCTGGGAACCAAGATATTAATCTGAATATTACTTGGTACCCGTAAGGTCAGAGATGAAAAGATAATTTGATGTTGTATTTTAGGCAGGCCAAAGTGAGGACTTCTACTGATTGGTTTACTTATATGAGATGATGTTTTATTTTTACAGAGTATATTAGGTAAGCCAGTCAAACCTCTTAACTCCCTTTCCTAGGTAGGGTTCATATGAAACATTCCTGCTTAACAGCTTTTCAGTTGACTACTAGGTTTCAGCTTCTTTAATTACAACTGTCTACCATTCCTGACTTGGTTTAATTTGCTTTGTATGCTTCCCAATATCAGACCTGTGGAATGGATTGGTTAATAGCTTATCCTTCATATTATACCTCTTTTTTTTTCCTATAGAAAGCTTCTGTTGTGAAAAATTTTATAAATTTAGGAAACTTTACGAGGAAAAGGACAGTCACCTACAGCCTGTTTTTTCCTTCTAGTTTTTTTTTTTAATGCACATGAGTTTTAATGTGAGCTCAAATTGGTATAATTTTGAATCCTGCCTTTTCATGTAATATATTGCAAGCAAATTCTTTTAACATGTGATAGTATTACACATCAGATATGAGAACCAATTCTGATTTTTCAGCATTCTTCCGTTGCAGAGATTGTCCTCCTGGTATGAGGCAGGTTAGGCATTGCAGGCTATTGAGATCCAAAGTTTAGTGGTAAAGAATTTCTTTAGGGGTAGCTTCCTCTATGGGGGTGGCCTGCTCAAATGCCTTGAGAGCTCAAGAGTGGCTCCATTTCCATCAAAACCATCAATAGTCCCTAAAAATAGATTTTACTTATATAGAAAATGACTGCCAATCCCAGTACCCAAAGGCTTGATAAAGAGTTACTTAGGAAAATATATTGTTAGAGTGGACTCAAGAAGAAGTAGAAAATATAAATATATCCAAGAAAGTATACATCTTTATTTTTCTTTAATAGATCTTTACTTAAAAAGCTGGTCTGCTAACTTAGTGTTGTCCATCAATACGGGGAGCAGAAACCTTCATAGACGTCACAGTCTTTTTGCTCAGGGGCCGCCTTTGTGGGAGTCTTAGCAGCAGTCACTGCTGTCTTCCTGTCTTTTTAGATTCTTGCTTAGCCTTTTTTGCTCCCTTGACAGTCCTGATAGCTTGTTCTCTTTGAGCTTTCCTAACTTCAGGTTTCTAATTCTTCTTGGCCATTATATCAGCAAGAGATGCATCTGTGATGGCCCTCTGGAATTTGACGGCACAGCAGGTTCTTTTCTTTTGAATTTCTTCCAGCTGTCCCATTTTGTGCTTTTTTCTGTAGAGGACAGTCCAGCTTATCTGTCGAGGATTCCTCTTGGAAAGGAATGCTGACTTGCATTTTGCATTAAGAAATTGGAAAGCCATGCCCTGGCTGGTGTGGCTTAGTTGGTTGGGCACCATCCCACAAAGTGAAAGGTCGTTGGTTCGATTTCCGGTCAGGGCACATGCTTGGGTTACAGGTTCTGTCCCAGGTTGGGGCATGTACAAGAGGCAATGGATCGATGTTTCTCAACTTTGATGTTTCTTTTCCTCTACTCCCTTCCCCTCTGAATGAATGAATGAATGAATGAATGGATGGATGAATGAAAGAAAGAAAGAAAAGAAATTGGAAAACCTTAATGCATTTTGCATTAAGAAATTGGAAAACCTGTTGGTCCTGGTATAGCACCTCTTGTGTTCAGGGTAGATCTTGTACCCACTGAAACTGCACAGCTTAACCTTCATGGCTGTGGCTGCTGGAAAGAAGGAAAGATGGTGAAGAGAAGTTAAATAGATCTTTCTTGTCCAGTCTTCCAAAAGTAGGGCCAGGAATCACTCTTTCAGCTTTTGTTTGCATCCTTTGTAGCCCTAAACATTCACAGCAGTTACAGCTTGCGGTTGCCTCATTTATCTGTTCACCGGTTACATTTTGTCCTTGCCCAAAGGAATGGAGGCTTCATGAGGGCAGGCTTTGTGGCTCTTTGGTCCCGTTTTTCTAAAAAGTCTGTGTTCAGATATTTGGTGACTATTTCTGCAAATGATTAAATATAACCCTGAGAGCAATTAATTGTTTTCTTGGAGTTCTGAGGGGTCCCTTTTTAGGTAAGTCCTTTCTCTTCACAGTTCCAGAGACTACAGGATGTGGCATAATAGAGAAGGAACCAGTGGAGGGAGGACATGCCTGTGTTAGGATGAGGGCAGGAGTGAAAGAGGGTGCAGACAGGGGTTTTTTTGTTGTTTTTAATTTTTAAAAGTTTTATTAAATTTATTAGGGTGACATTGGTTAATAGGGTCAAGCAGACAGGGTTTCCTGAAGCTTTGTGTTTTGCATAATGCCTGTTTGTCTTTTATGTGTAGTGAATGATGCTACACTCTGGGCAGACTTTGCCTAAGTTTCATAAATATTTAATTGGCTTTTTCAGGAGAATAAAGGCAGCCCCGTTGATGACTGAAAATGACAAAGCATCCACCTAACAGACGAGGAATCAGCTTTGAAGTGGGAGCCCAGTTGGAAGCCCGGGACCGATTAAAAAACTGGTACTTTTACATTTTTCTGTTAATTAAATCCCTTCAGTAAAGGACTCTTGCCAGCACTGATAAAGAGGGGTAGTCTGGGCTTTTCCGTATTGTTTTCCTGCTCCCTGACTCTTGAAGGTGGAAGGAGACTTAAGTCTAGAGCCGTGGGACTGTCCTTTCTCTTTGGTGCCAGGGACCCTTGTGTAGAGAGACCATTCTGTGACCTCTTGTTTATGTATGTTTCCCCTTCCTGCCTCTGCATCTAAAGGAGTTAAGAGAAAAAGAAGCATTAAGTGGCTACAGGGAAGGGAAGAGTTAATAGTGGCATTTCTTTTGCTTTTGGCTGCCTGTCTGGAAGAGGAGAAGAAAGATCAGGGATGGAAGAATGAAGAAAAGGGGTTGAATCAGAACAGCTATTGTGTTGTGATCAACCCCTCCTGTTTTCTGGGTATGTTGTGTAGTTGAAATTTAATTGTCATACTGTAGGGGCGATTAGATTCAGAAGCTAAGGGATTTTAGTATTTGTCATTGACTTGTGACCTCTGGCAGGTAATTAGCTGCTTTGAGCATCAGCTTCATCTATAAATGTGGGTGATAGTGTTGACCTCACAGGGTTTTTTCTGACAGTCAAATTATAGGATACGTGGGGAAAGGCCTTATAAACTATAAAATGATGATGGTTGTTGAGGACATTCTAGAATTTGTTTGTTAATTCTCAAGGTGAAGGTGGGGGTTTCAGAACTCAAATCTTTTCTGAGTTTTTATAAGGAAGAGTGTAGCCTTTTAGGGGGTTACCTCAAAATAGGCTGCCCAGTTTTGGGGGTGGCAGAAAAGAAGACAGGGGAAGAGAAGCAGGGAAATAGCTAGGGCAGAAAATGTCTCTGCTGCCTTTTGGGGCTGGGAGATTTGATGTATGAATTAGAGAGGCTTTGAACACCTAGTTGTTTTTAGGCTGTTTGTATTACCTGTAATGATTTCTCTTTTTTGGTTTCCCTCAGTATCTTTTTAAAGCAGCTTTAATAAAGTGAAAGAATTAACTCTTTTTAAACTTTATTTTCTGCAAAGTCAGTCAACAAGTGTTTGAGGGGGAAAGTATAAACGTTATTTTTGCATATTTGGAAACAGCAAGCACTTAGTTTGAGAAAACAAGAACTTAAAATAGTTGAATCAAAGGCAGTACCCAGCTACTTCTGTTTTAAAACAACTGTGATATTCTTTCTTAGCAACATTTCTTCCCTAAAAGCTATGATATAATACAGAATGTAGTAGCTCACTTGAAAGTGCTAGAATCAGAAGGTAAAGAACGCCATATGCCACCCCCCTTAACATTTCCTACTATACAATGATTTGGGTTTTGGGTTTGGTTTTTTTTTTGGTGCTTAATAAACCAAGCATTCATAGTAGCATTACATTCAACAGAAACATTTCTCGTACTTTGGGTTTAAGATCCTTGCCCCTCCAGTTCCAATGTTGTGACATCTAACTCTATCGTTGTAAATATTTCAGTCATTTGCCATATCTGCATGATGTTATCCTCAGACATTGAACAAATGCCCCATGGTTCATTGGGTTTCTGGCTAAAGTCTGGTACCTTGGCTCTGTCCTGCATGAATAAACAGGAGTTCAAGAGGCCCCAGTTCTTCTGCTGATTATTCTCCAGTTTTGCATTTTGTATCTTCCTGAGGCTGTTCTTTAGGGGAAGGCCTTGAGGAACAGGCACTGATGGTCTCCTGAGATGAATTCTAGAGAGCTCACTGTTGCCAGGAGGAACTGGCTTTGGCGGTTTGCAGTGGAACAGCACATTTAGATTGCTGTGGCCTTAGACCTTGGCAGACCTCGGGAGTGGGGCCCTGCCAGAAGCCAGCAGAGCTGGCCCAGGGTCGCCTCCTGGCAGGTGAGAGACTAGCAGCCTTAGGAATTCTTTTTACATTTAAAAAAACCCCCTAAAATATAGAAAAAGTAAAAAAGTGCAGCTAACCATAAAATAATGTGGGTACTTATCATTCAGAATTAGTAAATATTACCATTTTTGTTTTATTTATATTTTTAAAAATAATGGATATGAAACATTTTGATAAAAGGGAAGTACCTTTATACCCTTCCCAATTCAGTTCCCCTCCCCATAAAGGCAACTAACATCCTGAAGTTGTTTGTATCTTTTCTGTCTGTGTTTTGACATTTTTCCTATATATGTGTATCAGTAAATAGTAGAATTGTTTAAGGTGTTTCCAAAAGTTCATGTAAGTGTTATCATATTGTTTGTTTCTTTTCTGTATCTCATGTTTTTTATGATTTACTCTTATTGATATATGAGATATCCATCCTAATAACTGTACAGTGTCCACTGTATGAATATACTACATTTTGTTTATTTAGTCTCCTATTGATGGACATTCAGATTTCAGCTTTTCTACTTTATAAAACACAGTGCTCTGTCAACATCTCTGTAAATATGTCTTTTGTGTATATGTACCAAGAATATATTTTAGGCAGTGGCTTTCAAATGTTTTTGAATACAACCTATATAGTAAGAAAAATGTTTTAAGTCTAGTGTGGCACCCGCCTGTGTGTGTATGTGTGTGTGTGTGTGTGTGTGTGTGTGTGTATAAAATATTTTCCTTTTCCTTTTGTTTTTATATACATATACTTTTTTCTGTTTTTAATTTTTCATTTTTATATACATATAAATTTCACTGAAGCAAAAATTTTATGAAACAGCCCTTAACATTATTATTATTATTCTGAGGTTTTCCTTCTATGTTGTATATATATTTCCCTAACATAAACATGCTGGTAAAGAAGCATTAATTTGATTTTATAATATTCTAATGAGTCATGAATTGCAGTTTGATAAACCTACTCACATGAATTTGTTAATACAATGTACATATTTTCACTTTTCCTGGAAATTACCAAGTTGATGTCCAAAATGCTTCCACTAAACTATATTCCCACCAGTAGTATATAAAATTTCCTGTTTTTCCACAGTCTTACAAACCTTTGCCTTTGACAGACTTCTTGGTTTTGCCAGTCTTTATTGTTGGTTGTGAAACTTCCACAATTATTGTAATAACCAATCAGACAGGGATTGTCAGTGGATGCTGAAGTCATTATCTAAATAGTGTGGGGTAACAGGATATCGATGCATATCAAAGCACCCCCACAAATTACTTAATACTTTCACAGGGTAAAATAATACCTTTAAAATGGTGAGAGATGGTATTCTTTATCTTATCCAAGTGATATAAGGAACAGTGGGACAGCTTTACATGTCCCCCTCCATAATACAGTATAAGAACAGAGATAGCATTGAAACATTCTGCAAAAAATGTTTAATCTGAAGTCTAGACCTAACATCCAGTTTATAGGAAATATAAGAGACTAGAAGAAACAAGTTAAACTCACTGTGAGAAAAAAATGTGACCAACTCAGAATGTGGAATGTTCTACAAGATAGCTGTTCATGACTCTTAAAAATAAATAAATAATGCCGCGAAGAGGGAAAGAGTGGGGAGGGGAGAGGGTTATTATGGAATAAAAGCAACTAAAGAGACATAAAAGCAAAAACGTAATGTACAAACCTTGATTGAATCTTGATTTTGAAAGATTTTTTAGGACAACAGGAATATCTGAATATGGTCTGGATATTAGCTGTTTTGGAATTACTACTAATTAGGATTGATTACAATAAATATATGTAAGTGGGAGAAAAGTGATTTTCTATCTCTGTCATTCTGTTTTATTAGTTGAGGTTCTTCAAGAAGAGCTTTTTTCCTTTTTAAGGATCACTAAGGATTCAGATTATTCAGTGTGGTATAGTCAATTACATTCATTATTCTCTTTGGTGCTAAAATTACCCCAAATTTGGGCAGTGGGAGGTCCTTTAAACCCAGCTCCTTTGTTTTTTCGACACATCCCTATTTGTCCTTCAGCATTTTTTTGTTTTGTTTTGTTTTGTTTTCTGGCACTATTAGGAGCCCCATATTTATCTTTCACGAGTCCTGCTCCAGGCCCTGAAGTCTACCATTTCTCCGAGGAGGCCTGTTTTTTTTTTTTTTCCTTTTTTAAGATTTTATTTTTAGAGAGAGGGGAAAGGAGGGAGAAAGAGAGGGAGAAAAACATTCAGTGTGTGAGAGATACATTGATCAGTTGCCTCTTACATGTCCCCAGCTGGGGATCTGGCCTGTAGCCCAGGTGTGTGCCATGACTGGGAATCGAACCGGCAACCTTTAGGTTTGCAGGACAGCACTCAGTCCACTGAATCACACCAACCAGAGCTTGTAACTTAAATTTATATATTTAACTTATGTTATAAGTTAAATAGGATTTCAAGTTAAATAATTTGAGTTCCTTTTTAATACTCTTACAGTATAATTTTATTTCTACATTAAAAATTTTTAATATACATAAATAGCATTTTCCCTTTTTTTGATATGCATACCTATGAGTTTTAACACATACATAGATTCTTTTAAGCATCACAACTAAAATGATACAGAAGACTTCAAAGAATATTCTCATGCTATACCTTTGTCAGTTATAAATTATTTGATTTGATTATTTTGTGGATTTGTTTATCTGTCTTCACCACTACAGTGTAAGCTTAGTGAGGGCTAGTGTGTTAGATTGGATTCTCCCAAGAAGCAATGCAATTGATTTATTTGGAAACCACCTGTAAGGGAAAATGCAGACTGAGATGAAGAGGCTGGAAGAGCTGTCAGACTGCCTTACAAGTCTGACCCCTGTGGAGGAGAGAGAAGGAATATAGGAAGTCTTAGACTGCAGTGCAGTTCTTGGAAAGTTTTGGAGAAGGACATAGAGTCCTCAAGCCAAAGCTGTAGTCAAAAGAGTCTTATCTCCCTCGAAGAGTCTTGTCTTAGTATTCTTAATTAATCCTTGGCTGGGTTAAGTGTGGAGAAGGCCCAGAGGTGGTGATTAGTTTAGATCTGTGGTCAGTTAGTAGCTACTTTTTTTTTAAGACATGTGTGAATGTGTCATGTACAACATCGCAAAAACAAAAAT